TTAGACAGCAGAGCATATGGGATACACATTATGTGCCTACTCCTACAAGAAGTGTGATAACTCTTATTGGGTGATGGGTGGTTCCTTGGGTACTGTTGATACTGTCTCTGGCATTGGCTATTCCAGTAGTGGTGAGGGGCCTGAACCACTTATCCTCCAATGGAAAAGTAGTGTGGACTGAGGTGTTTCATGAAGAGGTGGGGGTAAGAATAATAGTATTCCCTCTGTGGTCTCCCCTCCAGATTTGTGAGCAATGATGGCATAGTAGAAACTACTTAGCTGTGGTACAGCAGTACTTGTCTTATTCCTCCATGCTGCTACTGTTGATATGACCACCAGAGTAGGATGTCAGTCCCACTAGCCATGTGCACTTATGAATCGGGCAGTGGCCATGCCTTTTCTCCCCTCATTTTTCAGCTGTACTGCCTATAAAAGATGGAGCAGGTGTGGGTCATACATAGCTGGAGCAGACAATACTCCTCTTGCCTGAAGTGGCCACAGCAGTGAGTTAAGAACATAACCACAGCCACTAGTGGGCCATGGTCTAAGCTTGTGTGCCCCAAAGGTGTGATGATAACCAGTCCCTCAGCATTGTTCAAGATCACCCCAGCACAATCCTATGAGCAGGGCAACACTAAAACTTGAGTTCTTTCCCTGCCCTATTTAATGATAGATGCCCAGGTAGTGATGTAGAGTTAGGGGGAATTGTGGGTGGCTGCCTTCAGTTCTGACACCCATATGAATGCACATGAGTCTGGCCATACCCTTGCTCTTGTAGTAGAGGCTCCCTGATCCACCAGCTCTTAATCCCATCCCCTCCGTGTGGCAACACCCATCCCCCATGGTGCAGGTTATCTGGCAGTTTTGAGTCAATCACTGTACTGAGCCATTTAGTTCTCAAAGCAGCTGTCTATGAGCCAGTGCAGTGTAATGTCTGTGAGGTCACACATGGGAATATGGAAGAGTTTCTAACTTACAACAGAGTCCCCCAGATTCAAACAGTGGGTCTCTGCTCAAAATAGTTCCTGGCTAACACAGTCCAGAGGGCTGCTGGTAAATGATGTGAAATGCCTTTCCAAAGAAAAACTACAGTACAGTTTTAAGGTCATTTATAGCTGCAAACCTATGAAGGATAGGACACTTTCCAGCAGTTGGGATTATCAGCACTGACAGAGTCTTTCACCTTTACCCCTGCAGATGAAAGACTTCCCTTACCTGGCTCTGTGACATTATTTCCCTTACTATGCTGTTATCCCAGGTCTCTGGGATTCTTTTTGATGCTAAGAATCAAGCTCAGTACCTTGTGCTTGCCAGGCAGGCACTGTGCTACTGAGCTGTATCCCCAGCCAACCTCTGGTTCTTACAAGGTTTCCATTTTTCTTTTGTTGATTTCCAGTGTTCTCCCGTGATCACTCAACACCAGTGTGTTGCTTCTGTGTAGGAGAGTGTAGCAGAGTGACAGAGGCCTTACTCAACCACCTTGTTTCCTTCCTGTTTTAAATTCCTTTCTTATACCTAATTTTTCCTTGATTCTAGATCTTCCTAAGGGTTGTGTATTCTCACCCTCTTCCTCCTTGCAAGATTGGCTTCTGGGTTTAGAGAAATATGTGATCTCATGGCACAGAGAAGGGGGTATGGTTCTTGACATTTGTCTGGGTCCCCTGTGGTTCTCTCTATAACCACGGCTGGCTATTGTGACTCCTGGGGTCCTCAGAATAGCCCTAACAACCTGATCCTCACTTGCTGACTTAGCATTATGAGGACACAGGTTCCTTTTGAATTCTCCACCATGTTTGGGCCCCCTAGACTTGTCCAAACTCCTTCATTATTTAACTATTAATAATATCAGGGGGCCTGCCGGTTAGCTCAGTTGTTTAAGCACCTGCTTATGCAAACAAAGTCAGGCATAAGATACTGTGGTTTGATCCCCAGTTCCACATGCCTTACCAGACCCACACTTAAGGCAGCATGAGCCAGCCAAAAAAAAAGTCCTCAACTTTTTGGCCAGCCAAACAGCTCAGCAGATTAAAGCCCCTGCAAGTAGGCGCAGGGGCCAGGGGTTCAATCCCTGGGCCTGCCATGCCGGCCCCACCCCTGGGGTGCACTGAGACAGCAATGGAGACTGGGTATGGTGGTGTGCACCTGTAATACCTGCTCTTGGGAGGCTGTAAACAGGTGGATCACTATGAGTCTGATCTAGTAGTGAGACCCTGAACACCCTGATAATGTATTTTCATTGTGTGTGTGTGTGTGTGTGTGTGTGTGTGTGTCTGTATTTTAATACGGAAAGCACCCAGCTGAAGGTTCTTTTGCTCAGTTTGCATACAGATCACAAATGGGCACAATGAAGCTATCTTAGTACTAACACCTTTGAACTTTGAATGCCAGAGCTATCAGCTCTTACTGGTCTCTGCCATTCTTCTGGCACCCCAAAGCAGCACTACCAGGAGGGCTCAAGAATCCTGCTGGCCTCTAGAGATAGCAGCTCCCAGCAGTGCTGCTGCTCTCCACTGCTGGTTACTAGAACTGTTACCAGCCTCAGCTGCTGGAGTTTTTTTTTGCACCAGCAGTCTTCAGTGTTACCAGCTTAGCCTGCTCTTAAGACAGAAATCACTAATAGGAAAAACAAGTCACTTGAGAGAGACTTTATTAGGACTCAAGCTAGACCAAGAATGGTACACAGACTGATTAGCTAATGGTACGAGGGAAGGTGCTTATGTAGAAGATAAAGCAGACCACATGCAGCATGCATTTTTAGAATAACATCTAAAAACATTCTGCTTCATCTTAGGTAGGGAAGGGGTCTTTGTGGAACTGAATGAGTGTGGCTGCAGAGGGGCGGCATCATGGGGAGACTGCAGGGTGCAGTCGTCAGAGATCAATCCACGAGTCAAGCTTGCTACAACCAAAGCAAATGTCCCCTGGAGAAGCTGCGTCTAACGTAGCTATGCCCAGCTGCAAGGGTAAGAACAGCCATAGGGGAGCAAAATAAGAAGTACTTCTTGGGAAACAGTACATTTTTGGTCTTGTCTCCAGTTTTTAACCCATTTGGCATTTTTCGAAGGGAACATTTGAGATAAGCTCTAACTTGGTACTTTACAAATATATAATCTATTGTTATTCCTTTATTTGTGAACAACCTATCTTTTCAGCACAAATTTGAAATTATATTCAAAGTCTGTGTTTTAAATTTTTTAGTCTGTTCTAGTAATCCATTTGTCTATTTTGTTTCTTTTTTTGTTGTTGTTGTTTGGTTTTTGTTTTTTGTTGTGTGTTTTTTTTTTTTTTTGGCAGAACCAGGGATTGAACTCAGACCCTCGCGATTGTCAGGGAAGCGCTTATTCCACTGAGCCATCTCCCCGGCCCTGGTTTTTTTTGTTTGTTTTGTTTTTTTGAGCAGAATATATTTATTAAGAGAAAGAAAGCCCCAGTCCAAGAGAGGGACAAGAGGGGGGCCTGAGCGGGTTGTTTCCCTTTTTTTCTTTCTTTTCTTTTTTTTTATTTCTATGCTTTATAAAAACATCTTTATAATATTTTAATACTTGATATCTTTGTTTCCTTTATAGTTTAATAGGTGAGTTTTAGAATAACAACTAAAAACATCATTTTGAGGGCCAGCCAAATAGCTCAGCAGATGAAAGCGCCTGCGAGCAGGCCCAGGGGCCAGGGGTTCAATCCCTGAGCCTGCTGTGCAGGCTCTCCCCGGAGTATGCTGAGACTGCAATTGAGACTGGGTGTGGTGGCATGCTAATCCCAGCACTTGGGAGACTGTAAACAGGACAATCACTGAGTCTGATCTAGTAGTGAGAACCTGAACACCCTGTAGGCCCTTCCCCAAAATACAGAAAAATAAAAAAAAAATACAAGTGGCTGTGGGAAAAATTTCTAAATACTGCTAGTGTTCCCCTCATACCTCTGCCATTGTCTGCCCACTCCACTGGCCATTTCTGAGTTCTCGTTCACTCATCCTCAGTGCCAGGTATGTTCTGCACTTTATGAGACAAGATTTTTCATTTGTGTTAATAAACATAAGAGTTCCTCTGACAGTGGACGAAAATAAAATGAACACTTCCTATGTGCTCAGACATTTTGAACAAGTTATAACAAAAGTAAACACCACCTTCCTGATATAAAATACAACTTTTTGAAAATATCAAATACACATTTTTAACAAATTGAACCACTGACATAAAGTTTCTCATGAATTAATTTTATTTCAACAGCATAAAGGTCAGTTCTACACCTCTGACTGGGATTACAATGTTCCAGCTTTTCAGCACTGATATTACTTCTAGTCACAAACACAAACAAAGGCTCTGAGGAGGACGACAAAGGGGTGCTTTTCTGCCTGGCAGTATTGTGTGCATCTGCAATAAATATCCAATCTTCTGTAATAAGACGCCTCTTAAAGAGGTAGAGATCATTTTAAATATATAAATATTCCAAATATTTTCATTGTATGACCTGAGGAAAACAAAGGACTAAGAAACATTCCATGGAATGCAGTCCCCTCCACGTTAAGTCACACTACCTTATGGTAGCCAGCATTCCTTCAGAAGTCTTAACACAGAAGGAAAAAGACCACATGCCATGCCTAACCTTGGAGGTAATAGTGAAACCAAACCCTTCTCAGCCTATGGCTCCTGGTGGTTCTCTATCCTGAGTGCCTGAATTTGGGACAAGATTGAAAAGACATGAGGTGGCAGCTCCACTTTCATGTTCAACCCAGAAAGATAAGGATCCGAAGTGCTAAGTGCATATTTCAAGCATACGTTCTGAACCTGTTTAGAGGCACAATAAATTATGAAATTAATTGATACAAATTCACTGGTACTCTGTGTGGAGAATATAAGCATTAAACTTGATACTTCACCTCCAGCTCTTTGCCTAAAAATTTTTTTGACACTACAGCGAACAGACCCTGACGTACATTCAGAAACTCTCACTATAGATTTCTATCTTACATCATCTATTAGGATTTAAGAGTTTTTCTTCAAGAAGCAGGAGAAAGGGCAGTTTCTGTCCTTTCCTGCTGGCTATATCTGCACCAAGCTTCTCAGGAGACCAGTTGGCTGCAGATTAGACATCAAAGTCCTTCAGCTCTCCCCAGCTGGCGCCTATTTTCACTTTCACTGTCAGCTTCACAGAAAGTTTCATGGCACTTTCCATTTCATTCTTGACAATCTGAGCTACCTAAAAGAAACAAAACAAAACCCTGAAGTTACCCCCTAAAAAAACAAAGGTTGCTTGAGGAGGTAATAAACCAGACTGCAGTTCTTCTTCTGATGGTGCTTAAAGCCCAATCCCTAATAAGCAGGAGCTTCTGAGAGTTTTAGCTAGAATGTTCCAAGCTTGGAAACCATCAGTACAGGGCACCACCTTCTTACCTAGTTTCCACAGGACAAAAATATCCCTGCTCCAAGAACTTCTATACTTAAAATATAAAGCCAAGCATTCTTAGCTCCTCTAGCAGGAAGGATTCCACATTTACACAGACACTCTGGGGCAAAGGTAGGGTTCCAGAATCCTCCTGCATGGACTGCAGCCTGACCCAAAATGTTTTAGCTGTTAACAGAATGGATGTGTGGGTGTTTTAGCTTTCAACAGAATGGGTACTGTGAAAATACCTGCACAACATCCTCTTCTGCTACTTCATATAGAAGTTCATCATGGAGTTGAAGGATGAAGAAGCCTCCTCTGATTGGGCAGAACAGCCCTTGCAGATTTCTCTTTGGTAATACTCCTAGACAATAAAACAAAAGTAAGCAGTATGTCATTGTGACACAGGAGAATTGTTTTTGTGTTTTTAGAGAAATGACAAACTTCAGGAAATTTTAATTAGGACATTAAACATGTAAAGCTTAGAACTGTGTTGGAACTGGCTTGCAGCTGACTGCTGCCTAACCTGCTGCCTAATGAGGTCTCAACAATTTCCCTCCAGAAATTAGTCTAATAAAAAGATCAGTTAACAAGGTATGAAGAGCTCTGTTCCAAACTCTTAGTCTTATTTCTCATAAACAACCAACATTTTATTTCCATGGATTCCCCTACCAGAGTGTGAATCACAGTGTGGCCTAGGGCCTGATTCCTGCCAGTGTTTTCAGACAGTGATTTGTCAGGGGCACACTTGTATCTCATAGAAGCCTTGCTGTGGTAGAGCTCATGCTTCTCCCATGGGATCATATTCTCTAGCCAAGTAATTCTAATCCTAGTGTCCACGTGTAGACCTCAGTGCATCTGTGAATTGAAGTGTCTGTGTGTACACATTTTCCTGTGGTCATGATCCACACTTTTCCATGGATTCTCATTAAGTACCCATGACAAATAGTGAAAAATAGTGAACAACTTCCGTACCATTTCCTAGCTAGCTGGGCCCAATGGGACAGACTATGACTGCCTATCATGAGAAAGGATCCAAAGGAAACATCTGTAGAGCACCTGCCCTTCCCATACTTTGTAGCAGTCCTTCCTTCCTACCATCCTGATTTCTGACTTGTACATCATACACAGCCCAAGGACAACCTCCTTCAATATCTGCTCTTGCTTCACAGAGTCTGCGCATTGTCACTGTCTGCAGCCCAAGTTTGCCTACCCTACAGCAAGGCTGTTCAGCTGTTTGAGCTAAGATTTAATCTGTACCCTTAGGCCTCACGTATCTGCACACCACTGCCTGTCTGGATGCTCTAGCTTTTCTCCCTCTGAGTACCATCACTCTGTGCTCCCAATTTCCCCCTCCCTATCCTCTAGCTCTGCCTCAGAAGGCCATGATCCTCTTGCTTGTTCTCTGTATGCTCTGCCTCATTGAGCTCACTTCCTTTTGAACCCTCTGACTTGAGGTTACCTTTAACTCAGAAAGACATCATGAAGTCAATCCAAATGACACAGCCACACTGCCTGCCACTCACAGTTAAAATCGTTATTGTCTACATGAGTAATGTACACATTCCTCAGTGGGCCTTTTGTTATCACTGAAGGCTCGAAAAGGTTCAGTATCACTGGTCTACACCCTCAATTTGATGTATCACTCTGCTGTGAGATGTGAATATTACAGTCAAGTTTGGTACCTTTCTTCCCTGTTAAGATTTTAAATTTAAACATGGTTGATAATTTTTAGTTAACTCTCCCATAATTGTATTTATATAACTGGCTACATTATTTTCTGTAATCTATACATATGTCTATTAAGTAGCAAATCCCAGTCTCAATTTTTTTGTTGTTGTTGTTTTTTTTTGGGGGTTTTTTGCGGACCGGGGATTGAACTCAGGCCTTTGCGCTTGCCAGGCAAGCACTTATTCTACTGAGCCATCTCCCCAGCCCAATTGTTGATCTGTATCTTTTCTGGCCATCTCCAGCATCTTATTCCTTTCCTCTATGCCTCAAGCTTCCTTAACTTTCCATGAGGAAAATTTAAAACATAGCTGCAGTCATGATTTGAGAATCCCAGGAACTGTGAAATGTATTTAAAGCAGAAGTGCTAACATGTGACAAAAGAGGGTGAAAGTTCTATGTACTTGTTAGGACAAAAAAAGAAAACTTAGAGAAAATATTTTGAAAATAACAAGAAAAGATAGCAAGATTGGCAAAAGAACATATGAGATCAACTCAGTACATTCTCAGATTTCAGAGAATATAGAAGGTCATCAATACATAGGGAAATCAACGTATTATACTGTTCTAAAGCCAGAGAAGACCCTAGAACTGCAAAGTCAAAATTACAGAGTAACACAAATTATCTATCTTTTTCAGTGTCATTTTCTCAAAAGTGCAGAACAGAGTAAACATTCTGGGTTAGGACTGAAGCTTCCCATATAGCATGAAACATATTAGTCTCCCCAAACAGGGACATGATCACCCTAGATTTCACAAAGGACTTTCCAGGGGTCACAGGACATGTGAGACTGCAACACATGGACACAGAATAGAGACTAGCTTTTTTTCTATGCTAGGACTTGAAGAAATGTAAAAATAAGGTCACTCATCACTAATTTTCTTTTTTCTATAAAGATACAGTTTCATAAAAAGCATATTCCTTATGTTAAAATGTGTGTTTATTAATGTTTTTAAAGGTTAACTTTTTAAATTCCCTATTTAACTTATAATATGGTAAATACAGTAGACACAATTCACTTAAACAGTAATTCTTTTTGAGGTTAATAACTTCTAAAATTATGTTAATGAAAACATTTTAGAACTTCTGAGAAATAAAATATACACTACTTTCCTTTTTGTAAGCAATCATTTCCCCATGTTAGAACAGCAGCCTCACTGATAAACAAACCTGTTCTTTCTCTTTGGAGCACAGTCTCCCTGTGACCGTGGGATTTGAAGGCTGAGTGGAAGGTCTCCAGTTGCTTCTGAATGTTAACTGTGGCTATTTTGACTATATCAGCTGCAGATCCTTGCACCGTTGTGTTGATGGCCTGACGTTCAGCCTAGGAAAGACAATACAGGTGCTCTATCAGTTACACTAACATAGTGTCAGATTTGTTAGATGGCACTGAAATTTTAGGGGTGGTTTTAATGTACCATAAACAAGCACAACTATAACAAATACTCCACAATCATAGTGTCATACTTTAGCAATTTTCTTCCACACTAAGAAAACCTGGCAAGGGGCTGGGGAGATGGCTCAGTGGAATAAGTGCTTCCCTGGCAAGTGCAAGGGCCTGAGTTCAATCCCCAGTTCTGTGAAAAAAAAGAAAGAAAGAAAGAAAGAAAGAAAGAAAGAAA